ACAGAGTGGAACTGCCCCAGAGGGTTTCCGATGCTGTCATCTTTATGGCAGCAGACTGATTCATCCTTCCCCCTTGGAGTGGCTAGTGGATTCAAGCCACTGACCTTTCGTCAGCAGTGGAACACCTCGACAAATGCACCACCACCAGAGCTCCTTAGTGATTATCTAAATACCTTAAAGGCTTTCAGTGGTGCCTGGACGCATCAACGTAGCAGTGCAATCTGCTTCTGACAAACCCTCCACTGAAAACCCTACAGAGCATGGTTCTGGTCTGACCCACAAGAGGCGCCACAAGTCAGACCTGACTGGGTGGCAGCCAGTCAGTGGAGTCCCTGTGTGGGGCAAGCACTCAGTGGCCATGTAAGCACTGGTTCATTGGAAGAAAGACCCAGTGATCTGGCCCTGACACAGCAGGCACTGAAACCCGGGGGAGCACGGCTCTCCTGCGACCCACGGAGCAGGGGAGGACGCAGCTTGTGGGAGAGCTGGGGTCTGGGAGGAGCCACCGCTTCACCGCTGACCGCAGCGGCTCTGCCACATGCCGGGGGGGGCTGTGTCTCAGGGCAGGGTCTCCCGGTCTCAGGCAAAGGCAAACTCCGAGAGTCTCCATCAGCAGGGAGTGAGTGGTCAGGGCCAGCCAGCCCGGACACTGTCGGCCAGGTGTGCGCGGCCACTGCTCTGAAATAACAGGATGTTGCTGCTCTTGGTGCGTGAGGGCACTGAGCCCTGAGCCAGGGTCTGGCCTTTGGTTTTGAGCCTCTTCCTGGTTGCAAGGGCTCTCACATCAGCTGTGGATGTGGCAACACTGTCTGGGCTGAGGAACTGTTCACCAGAAATGCTGATAGCAGAAGAGGCAGTGCCAAAGAGATAAAGGCCAAACAGGCCACAGAGACAAGGCAAGGGGGAAAAGACCTGGTAGTGCAGAGAGACAAGGTCTAATGCTTTCTTCTCACCACCAGCTCTTTCTCCTACAAAGAGAAGCTTGTCTGATGATGAACTCCTCTTCACTCTTCAAAACCCTGCTCAAATGACCACTTCCCTCAGACAGCCACAGTCCCGGGCAGAAGAGGCAGCTGTGTGGCGGGTCTTGCTGCACAGTGTCAGCCTCACACCCAGGACAACGCACAGCACTGTGTGTCACGGATTTGAAGAGTCACCTGTCCTAATGACTCTTCTGTGTCCATGAGCCTTATGTGAACGAACGAATGAGTGAGTGAATGAGCACCTAGTAAGCCAATTCATAAGTAGGCGAGCATGGCACAGACGCTGGTTGGCACTATACTGTCAAGTTCCCACATTCA